TCTTCCTACTACTTGTTCTTCGTCTCTACTTATTATCTTCTACCCAACCTACTCTCTCTACGTTCTTCTTCCTCCTACTACGGTTACCGTAACAACGTACTCTCTCTCTCTCTCTCTCTCTCTCCCTTTCCTACCTTCTTCTCACTCATTATAGCAGTCAACCAAACTACTCTCTCTCTCTCTCTCTCTCTCTCTCTCTCTCTCTCAGAATGCATTTTTTGTGAGACTAAGACTGGTTACATATGCTACTTGCGAAATAGCAGCTACCAAGTATTTGAAGGAGTATTTTGTCATGGCGGTGGTGGAGGATATGACGAGGGTTTGGATCTGTTCTCCTCGGAATCGAATTCCGATCAAAAGGGTGACGGTCAGAGCTCTCCCGATGCAAACACTGCAACTTCTGCTGGCACGGCCGCTGCTACTGCCAAGAACATAGTATCGGAGAGGGTAAGGAGGAAGAAATTGAACGATCGCCTCTATCAATTGAGATCGGTGGTTCCCATTATTTCCAAGGTACGTGAATTATTTGCATAAGAGAAAAAGAGAGGGAGAGAGGTATACGCGTTATGGCCATGGCATGAGATGCAGAGAGAGAGGGAGTGGTTGGGAATTAGTGCAATGGATGGGAGAGTTAGTATAATGTGGAAGAGAGAGAATGTTATAATGTGGCGTGATTGCAACTTTGAATGAGTGTTGAGGGAGAGTTGGTATAAGAGCGCAAGGGGGGTGAATTGAACTGGTGTAATGGAAGGGTTAGAGAGAGAATGTTAGAGTACTAGAGAGAGACCTAAGATTTGGGCAAGTTATTACTTAGAGAGAGAAACCTAAGGTTTTGGCAAGTTATTACTTATTATAGAAGAGAGAGAAGCAGTTAATTTTATGTGTAAGAGGAGAGACGGAGAGATTTTTATTTTAAGTTTAAGCTTCGATGACATTTTTGATTGACAGAAAGAAGGTTCAGCTTCGGCGAGATTTTTTTTAAAGAGTGAGAGGATGAGAGAGAGAGAGATGTGGTTATTAGAAGGTTAAGCTTTAGAGAGCGAGATGTGGTTATTAGAAGGTCGAGCTTTAGAGAGAGAGATATATATATATATTACTAGGTTCAGCTTTAGAGAGAGAGAGAGGTCTGAGATTTGGGCAGGTTATCATCAAAGGGTGTGGTTTGCAGGCGACCTTAAACAATCAAATTAAGACACGCTTCTAAATTTTCTTATAAATGTAATTTTGGTATAATAACTTCTTTTAGGATGACTTGAAAATTTATTTTGATATTAAATTTCACATCAAATCAAATGACTGTAAAGAATTGCGACTACCTTATATCAGAGGTAAAATGATTTCGTTATATACAATCCCATTTAAAAAACAGTATGATCCAAATATTGAAATTGATGGTTTCAAGATACACTTGTTGTAAAACTTAAATTTTTTTTCCCTTTCGTACTCATGTATCTCGATGTTGGAATAACTTATTGGAGTGTTTTCCAACCTCAAAACAACATTTTATGATAGATTTTTGAGGTGCACTTTAATTCGACATTTTAAAATTACGACATTATATAAACTTTTTCCATTGTTAAACATAGAGTTAGGAGTTTAGTTTAGTTTCTCTTATTTGAAAAGCGAGGGGAGAGAGAGAGGTGATTATTAGAAGGCTAACTGTTGCGTGTGTGAGAAGGTTAGCTTTATTGTATGTGTGTGAGAGAGAGAGGTGGTTCCTAGAGGTTTCAGCTATAGTGAGAGAGGTGGACATCGTTAATTTGTTATCAGAATTGTGTTTCAGAGAGAGAGAGTGGTAATTGAAAATTTTTGTGTGTATTTGTGAGGGAGAGATGGACCGGTGGTTATCGTGATTGGGAGTGTGAGAGGGGTTATTAGAAGATGAGAGAGAGGTCCTAATTGTTATTAGAAGCAGTTCAGGAAAGTACGACTCCGCTCTAGAAAGTGTTAAAAATAATAAAAAGTACAAAAAAGTATACAAATATGAAAAGGAAAAGGTTATACTTCCCTTAGAGCATAGAGCATAGAAGATCTATGTTTTATATTTTTTTGTATTTGTCGCTAGTGAGAGTTTAATGGAAGATTGAACGTATAAAGTTTGGTGTCAAAATAGTTTATATAAAAAATATTAAAAATAAAATAGTGCAACGACATGACATTGTGATTGGGGCAATCTTAATCCTCCGTTCAAAATGGACGGTTGGATAAAGGAAAACATATAAGTTTTATTTTAGCAAAGGGAGAATAAAAAGCTTACAAAAAATATACTCGAGTAAAGTTGAGCAAAAAACATAACCTATCTAAATGAAGTTACAAAAGAAATGAAAAAATAGATTTGGTTTTCAAAATTATTTTTTGATTAGGGTATATTTCAAAAAAAAAGAAAAATATAAAAATAAGCATTTATGACCAAAAGACTTCTCATGCCCAAATAATAAAAAATATTATAAATATTTGTTGTTTTTTTGTTCTTTTAATTTTTTTAAATACCCCATACTCAAATATACCAGCTCGTCTGGCGAGCCCGAGTTGCTAGGACGAGTCTAGGTTGGCTGGCCCGAGTAGTTGAACACTTATTCGAAAGTGAGAACGGAAAAGGTGGTCGTCAGAGAGAGAGAGAGAGAGAGATTTTGTTTGATTATTGATATGTGATTTTGTGTGTGTGTAACGATATCAGATGGATAAAGCATCAATAATAAAGGACGCCATCGCTTATATTCAAAGCCTCCAACAACAAGAGAGAGAAATCCTCGCCGAGATCTCCCAATTAGAGTCCCAAAAATGCAAGAACCCATCATGCCTTGCGGACCGCGTGGACAAGCCCACTGAGTCCAGGCCCATCAAGAAGATGCGTACGGATAGCATCCAGGCCGTACATATCGCTGCCCCAACTTCCAATTATCCGCCACGTGTCACCTCGCTAGAAATCCTAGAAGTAAGCAACACAAGCTCCACAAAAAAAAAAAAAAAAGCACCTTTTCTTTTCCACAAATCCATGGTTTAGTAGAAAGTGAAAGTCATGATAAGATGGGTTACTTTTGATTAAAATGTCACATTATGCTGGAGGAAATTTATCAAAACCAATGTTTAATATTTTGGATCCTACCTTTGTAAAATTCGAAAGGTCGATAGACCGTTCATCCATAGATCTGTGTTGGATCAGAGGATCGGTGGTCCAGATCAGGTTTGGAGATGTCGGAATAAGTTATCTAGAAAAATGTTAAAACTTGAATAAATAAAAATAAAAATTAAAATAGGAATTTCTAGGGTGGGGATTTCGAAAGACCTAATAAAACATTAAACATGTTTAAAAAAAGAAAAAAAAAATTAGGGGCGTTTAAGAGGGAAACTGGGCCAAGGCCCATACTAACTCGGAATTGGTTTGGTCCTAACGGATTCTCATCTGAATAAGTAACTTAGATTGAAAAATCAACGGGTTTTAAAACATTGATCAAAACCAATGTTTTGAAAACCGGAATCAAGTTTCAGGTCGCCCACTCAATATACCTATGCAGATAGGTGATCTGGTTTGACCAAACTGATGAAAAAATGGTAAAAAATTTGAGAAAATATACATCGAGTGGATTTGGGCAATGGGGATCCAGATCTTCTATCCATTGAATCTAATCGAGATTAGCAATTATCGATTTGGTGACCAGACTTTAAAATATTAATTAAAACAATTCATGAACCACTTAGCATCTCACTCGTTCTTTAGATCTAATTTTAAATACGACATCACTCTTTCATTCAAATCCTAAATTGTCCATCAAATGACACTATCATGCCTCATAATTTGCTTGAAAGTGTCGGATGATGGGTTATCGTCATCATCAAAACCTTTTTCCAATTAATTCAGTTTGGAAGGGTGAAATGTTAAATAGTTGATATATAATTTGATAAATTTCCAAACCAGGTATATGCAAACAATTTGGGGTATTATCATCATCATGATAGCGATTTTCCAATCTATTGGGTTTGGCTATATGAATCATGCCCAGCCATATGAGGGTATATAATGCTTAAACCTTTTTCAGATTTTGTATAGAGAAATGACGTACCCGAATCTGAATCGTGGCCGATTTTGATAACTTGTGATGTTTGTAATTTTTATATATGAAAGATTGCAATCTCATTGTCCACCATTGCTATTAGGAGTCCCACCCTTTGGATTATTTTTTGACATTTATAAACAAGATAACGAGGACCCACTTGGGCTTGTAGAGTGGAATTTTTAAAAGGTGGTTCTCACATCAATAAAATGAAAAAGCCTTATTGTAAGATGCTTGAATTGCTGATTTAGACATTCTAACCACTTATGTTTTAAGATATTTATTTTATTTTCTTAAGGTAATTTAGTAATAGGATTCAAACTTGGATGCAGCGTCGCAATCTTCATGATATCTCAATGTTAAATTTGTGTTATAAAAATCAATCTTTGTGATATCACTTGTTTTTCGATTACTAATGAAAAATACCTAGTATATGTATATATATTAGTAATGAAAAAAACAAAAATATCCTTTGTCTTTTAGTAATAATCATATATTCACCCCTTTTTTAATGTGTAACTTATTAATTTTAAAAAAATTGCATAATTAATAAATTAACCCTTCACAGTCCATTTTGATATTAACCAATGTGTTTTGAATCCATTCCCATAGATATATATAATCTTTTTTGTCTTGCCATTCATCCATCTCAACATCCTCATCTAAGCTCCAGTCATCATATGGGTATGTTGTTTTTTAACCGCATAACATTTTGCCCCGTAAAACAAAGTTGGTCTTATAGTTGTCTATAGAATTTATCTTTCAGCTTTATTAGTATGTGGCAATTGCATAAAACTCTTGTTCTACATCTTCAAAAGGAGGGCTAAAAAAGAGTAAGGGGTAGACCCAAAAGAACATGGTTGAAAGTAGTGAAAAAAGATATAAAAACATATAACCTTACTGAGAGTTTGAGCCTTGATGGAGCATAATAACGGATTGGGATTGTATAACCAACTTCAAATAGTTGAGAAAAGGTTATATTTATATATAACACCTTAAGCCAAAAGTAAATTGGAAAAGGACTTTTGGAGGTTATCTAACGTTTGCATCTTACTTTTCACAGATGGGAGAGAAGACTTTTGTGGTGAGAATTTCATGCCTCAAAGGAAGAAATGCAATGGCCAATTTATTTAGGGCTTTTGAGTCTCTAAAGCTGCGTATTATAACGGCCAGCACCACAGCTATGCACGGTCACATCTTCAAGACAGTCTTTGTCGAGGTTAGTGGAAAGCACACCTCTCAATCCCAAGCACTTGATGTCTCATTAATTTTTTTAATTATATTCTTAGACTTAAATATTATTCATTTCATTGTCACATACTTATAGTATTAGAGCATGTATTGCATATCTTATACAATTAGTAATAGTGTACTCCCCTCGGAGCACATTATATAGTTACTCCCTCGGGAAAAAGAGCAGCTTAGAAGGGTTTTTTCAATCTTAAAATGTGGAAATGGTATCCACTTTAAAATCACATCATGATTATTTCCAAAAGGGTAAAGAAGGACTTTGGATAATCATTACGAGAGTAAAAATTTGACAGTCTCTTATCAATCTTGATATGTTAGCTTTTTTAATTATTCTTTTTTTTTTTTTTTTTTTTTGATGTTGTTCACTAAGTTGAGAAGATTTGATCTCGAGAATTTAGGGTTCTAAAAATTCTCCCAAATAAAATTTTACCCCATTGAGTCGATGGACGATATGCTTCTATGGGAGCATATGATATGTTAGCGATATTACAAACAATGATGAGGTCGATATTGGTCCCCTGTCCATTGACCAAGGTTAGAGCCTAACCAACTCTTGGGCATGTTGATGAGATTGATATTGGTCCCCCTGTCCATTGACCATGGTTAGAGCCTAACCAACTCTTGGGTATGTTGGTTAGAGTGTTCGCAAACTCAGCCGGTCCAACTCAAAGCGAGTTAGTGAAATTATGAATCGAGCACTGGCCAATCCTATTTTGGTGGTCCAGCTTGGTATTTTTAACATAAATAAAAAATACATATAAAAATCCCAAAAAAATAAGAAATTTGTTTGTAATGTGTTTTGAATGTTTTTTTATTACTTTGGCAAATATTGGAAAGGAATACTTATTCTTATATTTTTCTTATATTTTTTGGAAAATTTTAAAAAAGCCCTGGGCACAAAATGATTTTCTAAAATCCATTTTTTCACTACTTTTCAACTTTATTTGGGTGTGCTTTGTTTAATAATGCTTTAAATATGCTTTTCATATTTTTTTTGTATTTTGACACTTTTTAGGCCGGTTGAACCGTCCAGTTTACCGGTTACTCAGACCCAGCCCTTGGCCGATTTATGAGGTCAGTACAATTTTTCGAACACAGATACAAACTCTTAAAAGAGTTGATGGACGGTGGGGTTCAGTCTTCTCATTGTTCATCTATGAGAGGGCTTCTATGTAGCGTAATAAAACATCCATCTTTTACTTTTTGTGTTGGTTATTATTTGTAGTCTTGTTTTATTGCTTTTTGTAATTGTGATATGGGGACATGTGGGGCCCTCTATGATTGAATTTTGTAAAGCTGGGGTAAAAGTATTCACATAATGGGAAGATTGAAGTGTGGAGTGTCTCTAGTGATCCTTCAATTTCTTGGTAGTTACTGGGGAGATTATAAAAAGCTAGGGGAGAAAAGAACTAAAAATATTCAAAGTAGATTTTGGAAAGAAACTTGTCGAAGCATTAGCTTGGACCCATCATCATCTCTTCATTAAATAGTTCGGTTTAAATATCACCATGGTGGGGGGCCCTCTTTGATTTGGTGCTCTAGATTTGGGTATGGGCTTTCATTGTGGACTTTAAAATAAAGTCTTGTAAAATTATTTTTCTCAGTAGCATGAGCAGACTCCAATCAAGGAGCCTTTTGGATAATTGACTAAAAGCCCATATTCGGACTCGAGCTCGGAATCAGGGTCTCGAGCCCAAGTCACTTGGTCAGACTGTTGAGTCCTAGGGAATTTTAAAAATGTAATGTACGATATCGGGGAACACTCACGGTGATTTTTAGGTTTTCTTTCTAGAATTGCATGGGTCTATGATAGCTTGAACCGGCAAGTGATTTTTCAATCACTACTTTTAATTAATTATATTAATATGAATATTTTTTTAATGTACTCCATATTTCTAATTATCTTTTATTTTGTAATGCAATTTATAGTGAGAGCATTTTTTGTCATTAGGAGGATTAGGATGGATATTACTACAATTAATAAATGTTTATCTTTCTATCAAGAATTTTTACTTCACTTCTGATTAATTACTTAAAATACCTCTAGACAAAAAAGTTACTACATGGTGAGGTATGGGTATCAAGTATCTAAAAATATTGAGTACCTTAAAGAAATACTCATATATGAGTACCCTAACATAACCTTTTAATTAAAGGGTGCGGTTTGTATAGAGTCGAGGCTCTAAACAATCAAAATAGAGCGCACCTTCAAATACTGTCGTGAAATATGGTTTCAATACTGGAAATCTTTGTGATAGCCTTAAAACATATTTTCATCTCTAATTAAAAAATTTAAAACTTCAAAAATAATGTAGAGTGAGCAGAGATGTGAAAACTTAAAAATCTAAAAAAATTGATGGTCTAAAAATGCATTATAAGAAGTACTATTTCCAAAACTTGAAATCCATTTTTTTATCATATTCATGCATCTTGATGTCGAGATGATCAATTTGAGGATATTTGGGCATCACAACAACCTCTTCTGATGAAAATTTTGAGGTGCATTCTAATTTGATTGTTTAGAGCCTCATCTCCATATAAAGTATTTCCTTAATTTTTTTAAAAAAAGAAGAGAGAATTGGGCGAAAATTTCAGGTAAAATGGAACTCATTGAAGTCTCAGGTGATATTTTCCAGGTTAAAGTTAGAGATATTTCTATTTGGTCAGGACTGCGTTCTCTTCATAGCATTTGAAATCATAACTGGGTGATCCCTGTCTATGGTTGAGATTACTTTTGTTTTTTATTTGGACTGATACTTAAAGATTACTTCATTAATTGTAGTTCCTATTTTCCTCTTTTTTTTAATTAAATTTAATTGGATGGCTATGTGCCAAATTATTGATAAGTTGATGCTACTTAATGTATCATCTTCCTTCAACTACAGTTTCAATGTGTACAATTCTTTACGAAAGGTTAGTAGGATAAACACTTGGGCAAGCTTTCTAGCTTTCTATGCTTCCCGTATGGCATAAAACTTATATGCTTTCCTTTATTCAACCGTCAATTTTGAATAGACGGTTGAGATGGCCCCAATCACAATATCAAGTCTCTAAACTTTTTTTTTTTTAATATTTTTTATTCAAATTATTTTGATACCAAATTTTTAAACTCGCACTTATAAAAAATATTAAAAAAATATTATCAACAAAATAAAATAACTAAAATACCTTTGAAATTCAAAGGGTATTTTGGTCATTATATTTTATCGAAAAATTCTTTTTAATATTATTTTAGGTACCCCCTATTTAGAAGATTGCAACCAAATTTATATTCATACAATTTTTTTTAAAAAAATTAGAAATAAAATACTCAGAGATGTCGGATCTAGATCCAATGATGAGTGGCTCACTTGATTTAAATTGGACGGCTAGATGGGAGGAGTATATATCTTATCTGCAGAGGAAGTATGGAAATCTTTCCCTGAACGGTTATCTAAGTGGATCTTCTATCATTTGCAAGTGTGAGAATTAATAGATATTAAAAAGATTATATGCTCTTGCATGAGCAAAATGTAAATCTGCTCCCTGAGATAAACCCTACCTAACAGTAATTTTTTGGGATGCGACCTACTTAACATAAAAATAACATAAAAAAGGACAAAAAAAAAAAAACGCACTTTAATATGTACCCTCCTCCTTAGATCACCCTAAAAAATTCACACCCTAGGTAGGAGGTGGCAACGGGTCTTGTCGGGTCGGGTCTCTGATGCAAAAAAATATCGGGGGTCCTGGATATGAAGTCACCAGACTTGGACTTGGACCCAAATAGTGTTCAAATCCAATATTTGGATTCGGACCCGACCTACCGGTCAATTTTTAGATCCATATGCGGACCCGGTTTGGGTCTATCCATCGGGTTCCGGGTTGGGTCCCTGCCCATTGCGGCCCCTAACCCTAGGATTGTAAAGATAGTCCGAGTTTTGTTTTTGTCTTTTGTAGTTGGAGTAGTTGAGCAGTAGGATTCCAATTTGGGCCACAACATACTTTGGTGCCTTCTAATCAACTAGGACTTGGGGAAATTTATCACACCTAAACTCGCACTTTGTACTTTTGTTTATGTCCTCATCCTTGGATGTGCATCGCAATTATATCACCTTGATGAAAGCAATTGTTCTAAGTCTTTCTCACTTCCAGGGCCACTTTTAATTTTTTAATTTTAGAGAAAGTATATAATGAGAGTATTTATTTTTGGTATAAAGTGGTCACAACTAATTTTGACCACTAGATGTAAAATTGGGTGCTTTTATTTCATAGACCAAGCTTAAAGTTCAAAAGAATTTTTCTCGAACTTTGTAACACACTCAATCTATCAGATTTCACATCGGATGGTTATCATTAATTGTGACCTCTTTGTACCAAAGGTCTATGGTCCCATTGCATACAATCCCTTAATTTTGATATTGTCTTTGATTTTTTAGTACCTATAAAATAGTTTGCCTATATGAGTAACCATGCAAAATGCTTTCTTGAAATAATTTAGGGTTTAAAAAAATGAGTGAATTTCTCTACAATTTATTGGGAAAATATCCTATATATCATTGATGAATGGAGTTTGCAAATATCTACTTGAACTATGCAAACTGTTTGAAATTTCCACCTTTTTTGTTACTTTATTGGCTTCTTTCCTCAGGAATTGTGGTAGATTTAATTAAAAAAACGTTGGGTTTTTTTGATCCAGGTCGAGGATGGGGAGAAAACCCAAGTTAGAGAAATGATCCAAACAGCCATGAGCAAAATTTCAGCCCATTAGATGTTTGTCATAACAAGCTGAGTGCAGTTTTTAATGTGAGGATATGGAAGTTAGCTTTTTCTTCTTTTTTGATTTTTTTTTTTTTGGGGGGTTCGTTTTTTTGAATCTAGGGATTTGTAATCTCCTGAAATCCAACAAGAATCATCAATGGAAAATATCTCATGTCATCTTTCACCATGATCTCATGTAAGGGCATCAAAGCTAAATATCATTATCGGTTCTTTAATGGTCCTTTGCTTTTTTGCAGGAACTAGTGATTTAAAAAATGGATCGGTGATCTGGATCGGATATCGTAAAAACCGGTCTGAATCGTCATTTTACTAGGCAGAAAAAATAGTGAACCAGCGAAAAAACATATGCAAAAATAATGAACCAGCAAAAAACCAGTCCGGATCGGTGAATCGGTATTTTTTACTATAGAAAAACGACTTTTTTACTGTAGCAAATCACTGGTTCTTTTTTAAATCGGGATGATTTTTTATATTTTGAAAGAATCGGCACATGGTGACCGATTCCGAAGTTGGACGGTGTGATTCCATGCCAACCCGCATTTTTTAAGTCACTGGTAGGAACCAATATGCATAGAGCATAGGCTTAGGCTTGAGCTTGAGTGGGTTAGCGGTTGACGTTAGTAATGCAAAATCTAAATTTCAATTTCTACCATTGAACTGCCCAAAAACAGAAAAGATATGCATGGTACCTGCAAGGTAAAGATTGGTACGAGTTTGATCACTATCGATTGTAACAAAAATTGGGGAGCATGAAAGACAAAAGGAGTATCTATTTTGAGTGGCACTTGTACTACAACAGGTGCTAGATTTTGAGGCATATAAGGATGTTTGGGAACTACGAATAAAAATATTGTAGTACTACTAGAAACAATACAAGGCAAGAAATAGTATGTGCAAGATGGAATATGAATTTGAAGAGGGTTAAATAGTAAGAGAGAGAGAGATCTTTTCACGCTAGTTGGCAGCTAATTGGTGTGAAACATTCCGATATCTAATCGAACTTTTTCACATGAAAATATTTCCTGTGAAATATTTTTTTTCACGTGAACCAAATCTGCCCCAAGTCTTTAACAATGGAGGAGTAATGGATTTTCAATTTGCCTGTGTATTTAACCTCAGACTGGATTTGCATTGGGGCTCCGGCTTAGGGCAAATTTGCCTTGGAACTGTTCATATCGGCTGATATAACCAATATTTGTGCTTTTGATTCTTTTTCTTCTTTTTTTTCCTGAGATGTTAACTATGGGAGCATCCCCCTACCTACTGATGCCCTAGCCCCATTCCGAATGGTTTTACTTTTGGACGCGGTTTTGGTGAGTCAGTTGACTGACCTATTACTATGTGGTTCCTTGTCTATTTAATGTCCATCTCTAAAATGGATGTCAAAAACTGTGACATCCACTATAAGTTAAAATAGACGGTGAAGAAAGGAATTAAAAAAATAATATTTATAATTTTTTTAAAAGAAAAATTGTAAATTTAGTTATGGTTGAGATTATCAAATCTTAAAATTTTGGATCGAAAATACATCTTTGTGATATATTTTATAAGGAGACTGCACAAAAGTAGTGTGAGTCGACCGACTCACAAAACACTTTTCCTTTACTTTTGGCTTTCTTAATCTTGCTTTTACCATAAGTGTGGCAAACTCGTCAAGAGAGCTAAACGTCAAGAAAATTCAAGGCATTTCACAAGTATACTTTCATTTTTCTTTAATATACTAGAAAGATGGGTCGTGTTTTCTTTCTTTTGCAAGCCAACCATCTGACTTGAATATTTTGGTCTCTACTTGAAGATTGCTCATGACAAAAGCCCAAGCAATACATTGTCATTTAACACATTAATACATGGTTATTTAACACATTAATACATGGTTATTTAACACGTTGCTCTTAAAAGAAGTCATGATCCTTCACATTCCTCTAAGCCCAAGTGGAGGAATTAATCCATGCCTTTGGAGTGTGAAAAACATCTATTTTGTTGTGCTTGACAATTTTTGGCAGTTTAGTGATAGAAATTGAACTTGAGATGTAGCATTACTTATGTCGACGGCTAACTACTGCCGCCCTATTTCTACAAATAGGGCTTTTTGAAAAATATCATTAATATATGCCAACTAGAAAAGTTGGTAGTCCAAGTAAAGGAAATAAGCAGTATTTTTGGTATTCAAAAATACTTGTATGTGTTTCAAAACAACATCTTGGTATCTTGGTTTTGTGTTTTTTTCTTAAAATACTTTTGTAGAGAGAGAAAGATGTCGGTTTGAATCCTACATTGAAGATGAGAGAGTTTGTTGAGTTATATTTAAGAGCACACATTCTCATGCTATATATTCTAAGTACAAAGGAGAGAGAAAGCGCGTGCTCTGCACCTGTGTGAGGGTGTAGGCGCAAGGGTGCTTGA